TTTTTCTTTTTTTTTATTCTGACACGAGCCGTGTCAGAATAGAAAAAAATTTTAATCATTTTTGCCCATAGGAATGCATTGCTAGATTCCTATTGGCTATTTCAATTTGCAATAGCCAATGGTAAACTAGCATTGCACCCACCCTCTGCTGCAGTTCTCCATCATGTCCATCAGCAGAGGGCTGGTGCAATGCTAGTTTACTATTGGCTATTGCAAATTGAAATAGCCAATAGGAATAGCCAAAATAGGGGCAACAAAATAGGGGCCTTCCCCAAAAGGGCCCTTCATTGTCATACTTAAAAAATTGATAATAAATATAAATGTAGCTTTAAATAAAACACTATATTCTCCCATTCTACAGATTAACCCCTTCATGACTGAGGCCCTTTTTTCATTTTTTGCATTCTGGTTGCCATTTTAAAAGTAAAATAAAACAAAATGCCAATCTTTGTACTTTAATCATAACCCCCATCACTGGAGGTCCGCTATGGAACATTTAAAGCTAAATTCATTAGGTGCAATGTGGAATAACATGCAGTTCGGATTTTACTTAATAGTACAAAATGGCTATTCTTTCTGGTCTTGTGTACATTTATATGGCCACTGTAGGATCAGGGGTAGTGTCCCTTGAGGCTCATCAGTTTAACCAGAACAGCAACAATTTTCTCTTCGGATGAACAGTGACAAAAAATAGTACTATTCTGTGGAAGGCATCAAAGTAGTAGGATTTGATGTTGACAAACCCCTTTTTATCATGGTTAATCAGAATATATATGTGCCATCACCACATGTAGGTGGCAATCTAGGCTACTGAAAGCTCTAAGCCTTTCTCGCAAGTATTTCAGTAAAGAACAAACTTACATAAGCAAAGGCACTCTACAATGTTTTTCACATGTTGCCAGAAAACAATGAGAAACTTTTAATTGGATTGAAGCTTGATAATGCACAGCGTTAATGCTTACTACTATCGTATTTAAGTGAATGTAACATTACTGGAAAGGTAACATAGGAAGTAAAAGCTGGGACGTGTGAAAACATATCAATAATATATTTCATAACAATAAGTAAAAATAAAATAAAATCCCTAATTCCCATTTGTTGAATGAATGTTAGCATATTTCATATAAGACATACCTCTGTGAAAAAATGTCTCTGTAAGGGCTACCATGTTGCAATGCTATGCCGTAGCCTCTGTCTGCAATTATATTTGCTACCGTGTAGAAGGAACAGTCCTGGTCATTTATTGTCACATACTCCAGCACTGCAGCATCCCATACAAATGCATAATTTCCATGTTTTACCTGTAAAAACATAACACATAAGGTAAGAGAAGTCTAAACAGGTAACACACTGTCAGACCTTGATTACTTGGTAAATATAATGCTGTTGTTTTACAATTAACTCTTGTAAGACCTCAATTTTGATTATGGGCACCATGCCAAGTTAAGATTTCTGAAGAAACAAAATGACTAAAGTTGTCAGGATTTGCTTTGTGTACTGAAAATGTATTCAAACCCTCTCTCAGGTTTTTTAATGACATAATTATAGCCTCTAGATGGAGCTGAGGAGCATAGAAAAAATGTATTTCCTATGCTTCTCAGGTCCATCTAGTGGCCATAATGTGGTATTTCCGAATGTTACATTTGACCTGAAATGGAAATATACTAAGAACATTTGCTTGTGACTCTATAGCCACAGAACGAACATTCACAATATTATGTAAGGTGAACGACTCTGCAATTTTTTTAAATAGACCCTGTTTATAAATAGACCACTATGTATAGTAATCATGGAGCACAGCATAATATCATATTTCATACTCATTTACACAGTAATATTTTTTTTCACATGTTGCATTTTAAAAGGCAGAAAATGTTCATGGTTTAAAGGACCACAGCTAATGGATTCAAAGATAAAGGCCTATTGTGAAAGAATAACTATATTATGAGAGAGTTACAGTCAGGTTGGGGATAAGACAGATGACCTATTAAGAGGGAGGTATGTTAATCTTAGCATTAACATTGATCAGAATTAAAAATAGTGGATTCTCATATACTTGTTTCTTTCACATTTGGTCATGTTTCTAATTGCCCTAATTGTAAAAAAGTAACCTTTTTTTTTCTTCTATTTAATATTTTCATGAAGTGACCAGGATATTGGCCTTAGGTCTTGTGGGGATATACCTTGGGGTTGTGGTTGTTATCTTGCTTTAAAGTAAAATTTAAGGCAAAACTTTTTTTTAGATACGGATAGAGTGGTTAGGAAATGAAGTAAAATAAACAGGTCACCAGCACTCGTTTAGAATAAATATGTCCTTTTTTAATGGACAATTGTGTCACTACAATCAACAGAGCCGACGTTTCGGGGCCGCACAGGGTCCCTTCTTCAAGGCAGTAAAATTGTGACCATCACAATTTTACTGCCTTGAAGAAGGGACCCTGTGCGGCCCTGAAACGTCGGCTCTGTTGATTGTAGTGACACAATTGTCCATTAAAAAAGGACATATTTATTCTAAACGAGTGCTGGTGACCTGTTTCTTTTACTTCGTATTTTGCACGGTGCCATCCGTGATAGTCATTGCGAGCACCATCGTTCTTATTTGGCCAGGACTGCTGCAAGGTGTGCGGAGAGGACCCCCACCACCTGAAAACTGGTTAGGAAATGAAACGATTGTGACTTTTATTTATTGATGTGTGTGTCCATGTTAGGGAGTTTTTCACTCTCTCTAATTACCATGATCACCAATGTCACTGAGATTGAAAGTGAGGGTAAATTACAACATTTTGAATTCAGAACAGAACATTCAGAACAGAAAGGAAAATCTCGCTATTGAAACACAGATGACCAAAAAAAAACTGACAGCAATTTCATCCCCCTAGTCTATAAAAAAATGTTAAAAAAAGTTTTTTTTTTAAGTTAAAAAAGTGCATGTGAGTTAACTCAAATAAAACAATGCAACACACAAGATTGTTTCTTTTTTAAATTACTGTTGACCCAAGTACATCATGAATAGGTTTGGGATCCAATGGACCTATAAAACCAGTTAACCAGGAGGAGGGGGACCATCCATCTGTCTCTTATCAGTGGCAGGTAGGCAGGGCATACTGTAAGTCCCCCCCTTTCTTTCCAGCACCCTCTCTAGGGCACTGGGGGTGGTGAGAATCCTGGAGCCCATTTGGTGAACTCAAACATGGTTTAAAGGACATATATACTGAGGTATACAGTATGTAAGCTGCTTTTGTAAGACTTTCTTCTGAAACTGGCAATTGAATGGTTATCTCTGGGCTCAATACTTTCTGAGTCACTGACACTAACCAAGCAGGCAGCCAGTGAAGTTGGAATGAAGTCACAGCTTTGTACCTGCATGCCATTTGATCAGCCAGGAAACTAACACTATGGATTGAGAGGTCAAAAATGTAAGCCTACATATTTCTCTCATTCTAGTTTTCTTTAAAGCATAGGTGTAGTTTCACAAACAATTCCATAATCTCATATAGCTCATGTGTCACCTCTGCCTCCATGGCAAACTAACAGGTCCTCTAGAAAGTTCTATGTAAGCCCCATGTCAGTCTGTGTCAAAATGTACACAGGACTAAGGACCTTCCTGACTTCCATGTAACAGTAATTGGGCCTGGCAATTGGTTACTTAGGCATCAAAGTGCACTATGCACTGCATAGGGTGTAGAAAGGGGAGAATGTCACATACTCTCACATACCCAGAAGGCTGCCTGGCAAACAGGGTGCCATGGGAGTGTGAGCAGCAGGTTACATTTTCTTAAATGCAGGTGCTCCATTGTCACCTTGAAAAAATGTCAGCCAGTTGCTAACTGGTAGGTATTTAATAAAAAGGATTTTAGGTAATTAAACATATCATAGCTAAAACATTAAGCATAGCAATGTTCTGTAACTGAAAAAAAACAATAATGGCTTTGTTTAATTTTTTTATGTTTAGATACTGATTTTTCTATTGTTTTTTCTCTATTTTTTAAACATATTAAATAATGACTCTTAACCCTTACAATGCAGCTCCCCCCGCACTGCAAAGGTTAAGTGTTCATTTTTGTCTAGGTTCTAAAATAACCAGCGCTCCCTCCTCCTGTCTCCTCATCCACTACAGTGATGGTATGTCCCTTGTCATCCTCACATGCTATACACAGAGCAAGGTGGAAGGGACTGGTCTAAGAGTCGGATCGAGTGAGTATACCTTTGTTATTTTTTAACCTAGACAAAAACGAGCATCTATCCTTTACAGTGAGTGGGTAGCCTCACTGAAAGAGTTGAGAACATGTTCACCAGTTCTGCTTTAACAATTAATACATTGTGCTATTGTTACAGTTTCTTGGCAGATCATGCTGTTAGTAATTAAAAAGTTTGTTGATTACTTTTTTCTAATAGAAAAAATCCATGTGTGTGTTAACGAGCAATTAAAAAGCGGTGTGTGTCCCTCCTCTGGGGGCTTGTTCACACATAAAGCGCGTGCGTTCCAGAGCGTTAGCTGCTGGAATGCACCGCGATTGATGAGAAACTTCCCCCCAGTGTTTTGGGGCGGGAGGAGGCGTGGTGGTGCATTTAGTTCAATGGCACCGCTTCCACGCCCCCCCCCGCCCGCAGTGTGATCGAGCGTGTGGCAAAACGTTCCGTTTGCAAGCCCTATTTTCTGCGTTTGCAGTGGAACGGAATGCTGGCAAAGTTTTGCCAGGCGTCCGATCGCACTGCGGGCGGGGGTAATAGAAGCGGGGCCATTGAATACAATGCACCGGCCATGCCCCTTCCCGACCCAAAATGCAAGGGGAAGTTTCTCAGCGATCACGGTGCGTTCCAGCAGCTACCGCTCTGGAACGCACATGCTTTCGGTGTGAACAAGGCCTTAGTCATTCAGCTGTTTGGATGTTCTGAAAAGACACTGAAGATGTCCTGCAGGCAGTATAATATAGAACTTGACTTTCTGCTGCAAGTGCTAAAATGAAATGTTTACACAGAATATTTCCTTACCTAACCAAACAGAAATAAAACAGTTTATCTATATTTAAATTTTTAGTCCCCAACAAAAAACATAAATGAAGCACTATAGATTTCCTTTAAATGGTGTACTAAAATACAATGTTGACTGTAATTTCTCTATAACACAACAGACATTATCTAGTTTTCTAGCACCATATTCCATGATACCTTATTTTGCTATTTGCATCTGTAAAATAAGTTACATCATCTCAAAAAAACAACAAGCAAAATGCCTCATTTACCCCTAACTAGCAAAAGGATAGACTAATCCCGTGCAAAGGTCAGCTCTTTATTTGTCATTTCAAGTACATTAACCTGGAACACATAATGCCATAAATTGGTATAATCAATTTTAGAGTAAATGTTTCAGCCTCTGTTATTAAGAAAATCTGCATAGAGTAGGTAAAACTAAACAGAAACACAGCAGGATGCATCAAAGCAGTAAACAGTGAAGACCTGCATCCTTGCCAGTTACATTGTAAAGTAAAACATGACGTTTTACAAGACTTTGCATTTGTCACACTTCCTTGCTTTTTATGCTCCCATAACTTCAAAGTTACTGTTTCCCTGTCTGCATAAATTTCCTGGCTCTTCACCCTTTTCATTTTGCACAAATAATGTGAAATAACTAATCTTTAATAAAACATGTGATTCATGCAAACCATTATGTCTAAATGATCTTAGTAACTAAAACTTTAATATAAACTATACATACATTCATTGTACTATATTATATGAGTTTTCTTTATTATATGAGGTTACTGTACTGTTACATATTAATGCTATTTTCTATAGTTTGGACATAAACATTTTAGACCTTTAGGCTTTGCACATGTGGGCATTTTTTTAATTGTAGCTTGTAAATGCTAGTTTTAAGGCCTAATTTACACTGGGCTATTTGGGATGCCTGCAGCAGGAACCTAGGGATTCCAATTGCAGGAATCCCACATATCCCATTTAGATGCGGCTGCTGTACCCGTTCAAATTATGACCATGTGACAGTGGCTGCGTTTGTAAGCAGCAGTCCTAATGTAATCCTAATGTGATATGAATACAAAAGTCACCTATTAAAGAGGAACTTTACCCTTATCTTTGAAATGACAACAAATACACCTTTAGAAATGTTTAGTAAGGACAATCTACAAACACATATTTCTAGATAATCTAAGGCTTTTTATTCTTTGCATATCTTATTTTTGTTTTCATACCCATTCCTCTCCCATTGGCCATGCTATATCTTCGTCTACTTCCTGGAACTCTGGCACATGTGACTAGGACAATGTACGTCATCTCAGGGGAG